AATTTTTCTAATTTTGTGCCAAATATATTTGTGAAGTATTTGCCAATACTTTTCTGAACATTGATGTTCTTGTGATTTCACCTTTCTCACTTTTAATTGCGTTTGTCTGTGTCTTGCCTTTTCTTTTTGCTAAGATTTTTTTTAATGTTTTTTTGTTCTCCTAGATTGTTCATTTGTTCAAAGATCAGCTCTTTGATCCATTGGTTGTCTATATTGTTTTTCAGTCTTCACTTACCAGAACAGAAAGTTTTGTGAATGCTCTCAATGTGGAAAATGTGAGCCTATAGCTTCCTATCTTGATCTTTGAGCAGTTGGTTCCCAAATACTGTGCAAAGCATTGGGCCCAATGCAGACCATTTTATCAAATAACCAAAATTGAAACCTCTTAGGCAATTAATTTGCATCATTGCACATGCAATTAACCAAGTAACGTATAGAAATGGGCTTGGAATTTACTGTGCTTAGGAAGAGGTAGCCCACGGGGCCCGAATATCAATAAACTTCGGTGAGTTGATAGTGACTGGGGGTTGTGGTCATTATTTGCCAACTTGCTTTCCAGCTTGTGCTTTTCACCTGGAGCCAGATGTCAGATGCAGAACCCAAGGGACAGCAATGGTGCAATATTCCACCAGGTGCAGAGAAGAGGCTCAACTGAAGGAAGTTAAAGACATTGGAGAAATGACCTGAGCCCTTAAGAATAACACACACACACACACACACACACACACACACACACACACACACGTGTGCACCCCCTGCACAATCACACACACTCACTTGCTATATATGTTCAGACTGATGCTTTGGAGTCAGTTCTGAAATGTTCGTGTTGACTGTTGTCTTCCTGCTTCTGCACACCCCCCTCGGGCTTTGTACCTTGGCCGATGAAGACTGCTTTCTCAGAATGAGCAGCACTGTGCAGAAGGAAGGGGACGTGATGATTGCAGGGATTTTCTCCCTTTTAACTTATTTCTATTTGTCTGACAGCACTGACATAAAGCCTAGCAAGGAATCCGTAGTCTTACAGTAAGTGCTCTTTTAAAAATTTATTACTTTGTTTGATTAGCAGGATGGATATTGTCTCTTGTATTCACAGAATTCATTTTTAATAAGTTAGTCTCTACCTGTTCTTTTTAACCTTTGCAAAGAGGAAAATTGTAGGACTTCATGAAAGCATTTTCAGCTTCTGCTTTTCATGGTTCAAGCTGAGGCAGAACAATCCCCACCTGAGTGCTCTTCCTCAGCTATCACAGCATGACACTAAGGGGTGTCCGTTACCCTTACAGATCAAGCTAGAGTGGACTCCAGAGCTCACAGACCGCTGTGAGATACCTCTTTCGAAGAAATCAGTGTTTTCTTATGCTTTTCCTTTTTTATTTAAAATTCCTGACAGCTCTATAGGTGGGCAATTCTGATATTTCATCTGCTAGAGCACGCTTCTAACTGTAGATATGCAATTACATTTTGTATTAATCTATAAATCTGGTTTATGCCCAATGTTCTCAGGCCTGAAGGTTTAATCCAAACCCCTGAGATTTTCAGTATCAAATTTTGTTGTTTTTCATTCAAATGTGCATATTTTGTTTCAGGTATTATACAATCAGTGTTGTAGCCAAAAGCATAACTCATAATACTTGGAGAATTCTTAAATATGACTTATACTTCTATCATGAAATGCACTGGGATTGCTATTGTTTGTTTATGTCTTTTATTCTATGTTAGAACCACAAATCTTACAGACAGTACCTGGTCTTCCTTGGGAAAGGAAATATCAATTAGGTACTGAAGCATCTTTGAAATCTGTATTAATGTCTTGTGATTTAGCATTTCTAGATATTTGCTTTTATTATGAATTCTGAATTCACTTCCTGTGTTTTCATAAGTTTTGAGCAAACACTTGACTTCACGTGATCTCTATGACTCAGCCCCCTCTGTATCTGGGATTACAGACATGTAGTCAAATAACATGCTTTTCTTTTTATGAATGCTCAAAAATGTTAGCAAGTCTGCTCATGGGTTAAATGTAAAGTATTTATTTTATGGCTGCTGATGACTATTATTTTTTAGGAACTGGGGTTCGACAGGGAAGTTGTGGTCACTGAACCAAGTATGTCTGGTCTTTGTCTTCTGAAAGCGGTTAATGAAACAAAAATATTCATGGCACTTGTTGAATGGAATCTAAGTTATTCATCTAATCAGGACCTAACATTTTGTTATAGTACACCCTACAATGTTATATTTCAGATGGTTGTAAGTTGAGTAGACTCTCAGGAAAACATAGACTCATGGAGTCCATACTCAGAGAGCAAGGTAGAGGGCATTGAATGGTGTTGCAGCACCACTGGATAGGGTCATAAGCCACACAATGAGAGGATGAGGACAGCAACACATGCTGTCCAGGTTTTTTACCAATTGCTACAGCTCAGTGAGATTCAGAGGTAGATTTATGAGGCATAAATAAGTAAGCGCATGCCCAATACAAATCTGTTCTGTCTCAAAGTGTGAAGAGCCCTGTCTTCTAGGCTGTGGAGTACTTATGTGTTCCTGAGGTATTCTCTGGAGGAGTCTCTGAAATGTGACTCTCAGTGAATTTGATGAAAAGTCGGTCTAGATGTGTGCAGTATGATCTTCTAACAACTTTCCAAATTCGTTCTTATATGTGGACATCAGAAGGCAATGCAAAGCCCCAAAAGAATTGGCACTCAATTCTCCAGAAATAGAGAGGATGCTTGTTGGAAAGGAATCACAAGCAATGGACGGTCACCCAGGTCCAAACAAAGCTGTACACATGCAATATGTATCTATTCACAGAGAAGACACTTCCCCTCTGCCTCCCATCTTCAGTCCTGGTTCAGACCTTAAAAGCGTCTCTAAGATGTTTCCCAGAGGAAATGGCTCTGCAGCTTACTCAGGCACACTCAGAAATGTTCTTCACTGATTTTTCAGGCAGTTCTCACGGGGAGTCAAGACTCCAATCCACTGCGACAGTCGCCCTGAGAGTAACTTATTAGAGACACATACATATCTAAAGTCCATAGTTTAATACACGTTTAGGGTTGGGGACGTAACTCAGTTGTAGATGATTTAGCAGAGTGAGTCCCTGAGCTGACGCTGCAGCAATGCCGGGGAAAACGCCGTGGCGAGACTGCATGTCCTCCACACTGGCGAAAGGAGCACTAAGATAAACTGAGCATTAACTAGGCTGCTAACAAAACCTAAACACAGAGATAAACAAAAGTAACACAGGAGAACCCAAGTGGTGTTATAGAAGTAATCAAATACCAGGTAAAAAATGCAACAATTTGTCACTGCTCGTATGCTAGGAAAAGTGTAGAGTAGCCCTACCAGCACCAAGACCTGCTACATCAGCAGACAACTTCTGCACAGACTGCAGCAGGGTGGTTTTAGTAAGTGTATGCTACTTATTATGTGTTCTATTTTATTATGATAATATTTTATGCTTTATTTCTATCATGTTCGATTGATTCTCAGAAGGTGTGCACAACTACGTCCTTTGCATTTAGCAAATCAAATGCTGTTGAGATCTGACAGGAGGTGGAGCTCAGGCAATGAGGTGTGCTGTGGGGAGCGGCTGGAAATGGAGATGAATATTTGCTTGTCTGGCTGCGCTCACCTCCTGCTGTGCAGATCACTTCCTAAGGGATACAAAAAAAATTAGGGGCCTCATATCCCTGTGTGGAGAATGGGGGCTATTTGAAATAGTATGCACTACTACAGATGTTATACTTTGTACTTAAAATATTATATATTTATTGTAAGAAATAATGACATGAGGAAGTTGTATAATACCATGTCTCTCAAATTGAAGAGGCTTCAGTACTGGGAATGCTTCCAGGAGCTCCCAAATATGCTCCGCTTTCTGCATTCCCTCTTCCTTGCAGGCTCTGTGTCCATCTGAGCTTCCTTGGTCTTGATGATTGAGTGAACACCTTCGATGGTACAGAGGCTGTCTTAAGGTCAGTGCCACCTCGTGCCATCCCATAATTATCACGTTTTATTTTTCTTCCTACCCTTCACACAGGGTACACAGGAATTAATACGTCTCCGTGTTGGTAATTGCAGATTTATGAGAACATAGCAGATATGATATGAAGCATTTAAGAATGCTGTAGAGGCCGGCCAGACAGCTCAGCTGATTAAGGCACCTGCTAAGACAGATGCAGAGACCAGGGTTGGATTCCCACCATGCTGTGCCGGCCCTGCCACGTGGGCACACTGAAGGCAATTGAGCTTGGGCATGGTGGTGTGTACATGTAATCCCTGTGCTTGGGGGGCCAAAAACAGGAAGATCACCAGAAGTCCGATCTGTGTAGAGAGACACTGGAGACTTTGTACTAAATACATAAAAATGAGAATGCTTCGGCACATGCAATTTCAAAATTTATTGCCATTAAAACTTTTTAAAAGTCACTTTCAGTTTAATTATCATTTCCATTGTATACACTTTTCTTTGTAAACAAAAATGTTTTTACATGGTTCCGGAGGTTTGTAAAGTAGTTTAAGAGCCCATGTGATTTTATTTATAAGAAATAGAAAATTTAAGACTTTTTAAGACCCAGGTGTTCCAAAACCAACTCCAGTTTCTTAGCTGTTTACAAATAGATTATTGCCTTTATTTATTTTACTCCCTGCAAATTTAACACATAAATGGTTGATTATAAATGCTACATACTTTTAACAGTTATAGGTGTCAATATTATATGAGTCTCTTTTATGGATTGCAGACCTGTCAATGCATGTTTTGCAGGCAAAAGAACAAAACTATATCCTTGTGGTTACTTGTGAAGATATTGCTATCATTCATAAGAAATCTGTCTTTATTATGTCCAAAAATCAATTCTTCATGAAATGACATTGAGGGATAGATCTTGGCATGCAAATGTGGGGAAAAGAAGAATGCATTTCGTTCCTACAAGCCTTATACCTGACTTGAAAAAGTTAATGGTTAGATTTTTATAAATTATGTGCTTTGTATGCAGGCTTATGCCCAACATTTACCAGAATGTTCTAGCCTTCATTTTTGCCATTGAAGAGATCAATGGAAATCCTCACCTTTTACCCAACATATCTCTGGGATACGAATTCCATAACTTCAAGCCTAATCACTGGAGGATGCTGGAGAGCTCCCTCACCTTGCTCACAGGACAGGATGAAATCCCCAATTACACCTGTGTGAGGGCAAACAAGCCCATAGCTGTACTGACAGAGACATCATGGGCTATGGCTGTTCACATTGGAAGCCTCCTGGGACTCTACAAATTTCCACAGGTGAGTTGGGTGGGATGGGAAAAAATGAAACCTCACCTTCTTGTGGCATTTTCCATGCCTGAAGAGGGTAAAGGGACAACACTGGGTCTGTGAACTTGAGAAAGTAAATGTTCTCATGGGAAATCCCTGGACATCAGTGGGTGACTCATTCATTCCTCCTGTACAGCAGAGAGGAAGAAGAAGTAACACAGAAAACCTTTCTGGAAATATAGGTCACATCAGTTACCTTCTGTCACTCATTTAGTGAGTAAGATTATAATAATGATTGCATGAAAGCATATTTGCTCATATTTACAGATTTTTCTTAATATCTTTTGAATTTAAGACTACTTTTCTTGCAAATCTCTGTGTGTACAGCTTTAATTTTTTTTTAGCTTATCTTTGGCAGCTTTGACCCTATGCTGAGTGAAAACCCACAGTTCTCTCTCTATCAGATGGCCCCAAAGGACACATCTCTGGCTCTTGGCATAGTCTCCCTGATGCTTTACTTCAGCTGGACCTGGGTGGGGCTGGTCATCACAGAAGGTCAGAAAGGTCATCTGTTTCTATCAGAGGTGAAAGCGGAGATGAACAGGAATGAAATCTGCGTGGCCTTCGTGCAAATGATCTCAAGTGCTGTTCTGTCAGTTGTCACTCACACACAGCAACGTGACTTCCTGCACAGGGAGACATCACTAGTAAGTGTAGTGATCATTTACTATGACACCGAGAGTTTCAGTGACATCAACTACCACATTGGGCGATATGTAATGACATGCACTGTCTGGGTCACAAACTCACAGTGGCATGCCGACATGGCTGGGAGGAATTTTCTACTTGAACCATTCCGTGGCACTCTCATTTTTTCAAGGCATCATGGGGAGGTCTGTGGTTTCCAGAATTTTATTCAGGCAGTTAACCCTTCCACATATCCAGATGACAATTTCCTCACTCTGTTTTGGTATGAGCATTTTCAGTGCTCGGTCTCTGATTTTGACTGTAGATTGGAGAACTGTATACCTAACGCCTCTCTGGCATGGCTGCCTGTGAACCGTTTTGACAGGACCATGAGTGATGATAGTTATGACACGTACAATGCTGTGTATGCTGTGGCCCATGCCCTCCATGAGGTGCTTCTTCAGCGAGGACAAAGACAATCAGTGGGAAATTGTGAAGGGATACTGTTTTCTGATAGGCAGGTAATGCTTTTTTCTGTTGTGTGCTATGTAGTATGTCTTAAGGGGTTCAATAAGTGATAAAAGTAAATGCTTACAATGCTTTCTGTAGAAATGCCCTGGAAATTGTGTATGCATTTTATTGCCAATGAGCTCAATCTAAGCTGGGTAGAAGGCCTCACTAACGTGGGATCCAGGGCTGGGAACATAGCTCACTTCTCTAAACACCTGCTTGGCAAGTGCAAGGACCACAGTTTGATCCCCAGTGCTGCATCCCACACCAGCCCTGGATCTATGGGTGTGGCTTGCTGGCCACTGAAACCGGGCATGATGACACATACCTGTAATACCAGTGCCAGGGAGGCTGAGACAGGGTGATACCTGTGAGTACACGCTGTGTAGTGAGACAATGTACTGAATAAATAATTAAGGAAATAAATGATTTTAAAAAAAATTAAAAAGCTAAAATATCCATGCAAAGTTGGTCAAATATTGTAAGTACTAGCTGTTCCCTTCAAGAGCTAATAGAAATTAATGGTACAAATATCTTTGCTATTTATAATACATATACATGTGTGTAGGGGTTTTGCTTTTGTTTCATTTTTCCCCTTTCTCCTTTCTCCCAGTTGTTCATGCCTATATCTTGTAATCTGAGCAACTACTTTGAATATAACAACATGAAATATAAACACTGTTAGTTTTCCATCATCTTGTCTAGAAATTCTGTATCATTTTTACTATTCTTTTCACTCTCTTTAAATGAAGAAAAATAAAATACAAGGTCCACTATCAAGGGGACACTTATTCCTCATTCAGGTTGAATGATTTATTTTGCAAAGGGTCTTCCTGCTTACCTAAGAGTCTCATAGGAAAACTTATAGTTTAAGTTATGCAAAAACAACAGGAAAACCTGTAGTTCCTTCAGTAATTCAGTAGTGCTAAACACTACAGTGGATATATTGTGAGTTTCCTCACTGAGTTCTGGAGCCCCTGTCGTATGCCTCTGGGAACAATCAGGAAAAAAATAAGAATGGGGAACTTTGACTCCACACTTCAATTTTGCCTAAAATTCACGAACAACTTGAATTAATTAATTAATTAATTAATTTTTGTATTCTTTTTTTAGGGAAGGGTCTATGGGGTGTTCAGGGTCTCACTGCTGGATCAGACTCATAGTGATCCGCCTGGTTACAGTCTTCCAAAAGCTGGGATTACAGGTGTGTGCCACCATGACCAGTCTCAATTGTGGTCTCAGCAAACCCCGGGAGTGGGGCTGGCACTGCAGGTCTGGGGATTAAACCCCTGACCCCTGAGCATGCTTGCAGGTGCTTTAATCTGCTGAGCTATTTGGCTGGCAGTACGACTTGTCTTTCAACACAGTTGTTTAGTGTGGCTTTCTCTCCAAAATGATATTTAGAAACATTGTGATACTGTATTTTACTCCCCCATAGGTATTCATTTGTTCTATTTTAGTGGATTCAATGGATGGTGTTGTTCAATTTGCATTAGGTACTAGTGCTTAAAGACAATTGAAGCGGTCCCCCTTTCAGGTTTATGTATGAATACAGAGGCCATCTTCCTTATGGTGAAATTTGTCTGTTTTAGCTTCACTTCTATTTGAAGAATCTTCAGTTTAACAATCCTGCTGGAGATCCAGTGAACTTAGATGACAAAAGGAAACTGGATGCAGAGTATGACATTCTCAACTTTTGGAATTTTCCAGAAGGCCTTAGACTTAAGGTCAAAGTTGGATCATTCTCCTCACGTGTTCCACGTGATCAACAATTGTCTATATCTGAGGACTTGATAGAGTGGGCCACAGGACGTTCAGAGGTATGTTAGTCCTGGTCAAAGTGGACCTCACTAATTATGGATGCCATAGAGTATTGCAGGGTATGTGCCTTAATTTGACTCAGAAAGTCGCAAATTTCACAACACTCCTTCTAATTGCAGAATGTTTGTTGACCCACTTTCAGTTGAATGGAGCGTCATATTGATTTAGTCATATAATTAAATGTTCATATAACTTTGTCACTCAATACACATCAGTTTTTATATGTCGATATGTGCATATGAGAAATTAATTTATTTTTTATGTTTTACTTCTTTAATTAATTTTATTGAGAAACAAATAGCAATGAGACAATTTCAAAACTAATTAGTAGGACAGTTTCAATAATTAGTACATTGCATATTGTTGTTTTCATAGTGGTCATTCACAGTACAAGATGCAGATATGATATTCTTTAAAATGCTATTAGTACAAATTTTTCTTGTCATTCAATTAAGAGAGAGTACTTATGTATTGATCCTATTTTGTATATACACATAAAAATGGCCCTTTATTTATATCCCCTTTTTTGATTAGTTTTGTCAGAGATGGGTATTCCATTGCCATTTAAATATTGCATGTGC